CTTGACCGCGTTGACCGGCTCACACGCGCTCGTTTCGAGCTGCTTGATCTTCTTTGGAGCCCTTTTCGTGTTAGGTGACTGGCGCTTTGGTAGTGGTCGTCTTTGTGGATTTGGCTTCGACTCGCCAACTTTGCTTTCGAAATTTGAATTCCAGATCCGTTGTTAACTTCTACATATCAATCTTTCACGTATAAATCATACTGTAAGAACAAAGCGTGATGAAAGCAAAAACAAAGAAAAAGGTCCCTCTTGACTCGACTTTAGTGACGAGCCTTATCCCACTGCCCAAGATCAGATGGAATCCCCAATGGTCTACTCGTAATTTCTTTCACAGATATCATACAAAGCTACACACACTGCGAAATGATGAAAGCAAGAACAAAGAGAAGACATCAGTATCCACCATGTCCACGGTTGCCTTGGACCAAGCCCCTGTTATTACCAGGACCACCTCGGCCTCTTCCTCCATTACCATGGTAGACCATCGGAGGAGGAGGAGGCTGGCCAAAATGAGGAGGCGGCCCTCTCGGAGATCCCGCCCAAGCACTCGGAGGCATTGGAGGCGCCTGTTGCTGCTGGAAATGATGATGTTGAGGATGCTGATATTGCATCTGGTGACCACCACCGCCACCGGTACCGCCACCACCGCCGCCGCCGCCGCCGCCACCTCTTCCCATGAATCCTGGAGCATTTCCAGGCACCCCCGGAGAAGGCCTGGAAATCATCTGCGGACCATTTGCGAATGGCGGCGGCCTGTAGAATGGAGGTGGCGGATTGCCGTAGGAGCCTGGAGGTGGATAGACGGGATTTGGAGGGAAGCCGTCGAAGCCTGGAGGACCCGCTGGACGCGGACGGGAGAACTGTGGCGGCGGCGGTGGCTGCTGGTACGAGTTGTTTGGCATGCTAAGGATTCCCGTGTTGTTGGGAGACGATGGGCGTGCGTTGCTGCTTGTGCTGCTCCTGCTTGGCAAGTTGCTGTTTACGAGACGCCGAGCAGCATCGCCTAGTCTCATCCCCGACATAGCACCGGAGACTGCAGGCCTGGAGCGATAGACAAAGGGTCTTAGAAGTCTGGCTTGCGAAGTAACAGTTACCTGTTGACGACGTTGTCTCTTCGACCATTCTCTTCGTGCCACAGAGGCTGATCCTTGACGTCGTCCTGGTGAACAGTCTGCGTAACAGCGGACAAAATTGTGAGCCATGAATCTATCTTCTACTAACCTTTGGCGGCATGATGACGCCTGGAGGTGGTTTCGCAATGTGTTCGTGGAACCGGGGAGGTTTGAATATAACAGCACTGCGTAACAGCATACCACGTAAGTCACATAACCTTCATAAGAAATCCATAACTTACACAGCAGTGTTTTTTATGCTTAGCATGCCTGTCACGGGCGAGCCGATTAATGCACGAATCCCATCCTTGCACGGTGTAAGGAACCCGTTCATCCCCCCACTATACAAAACAGGTACGATGAGTTTTGACACTGACACAAGCCATCGTACAAACCTTATCGTTGGGTCAATCTCCTCCACTACCCTAGCTTTTTGTTCATCCGAGAGAAATGCACACCGCTCATACAAGAGCATCACAACGAGACCAAGCGGATGACTAGAATGTACATAGAGCATGTCGGAACTGCTTGAATTTCTTCTAGATTCTTGTTCCTGGTAGATGGCGAGTTAATACGATTCAAACATCACCACAATACTAACCGTCAAAGTCCGCTCCACTTTCTTCGTTTCCAACAACAAGCGGTTCTCATCTATGAAAGGAAGTTTCACAACGCCCTACAAAATGCGTGAGTATGTATGATTAGTAGAGCAGAGAATTTGGTAATACCTGCCAAGCAAAGCGTTTCCCATTCATGTCAACTTCAAAATCTGCATAGGATAGGCGTCAGAACCACAAAACAATATCACTTTTAACCTATGGGATAAAAGTCAATGATTGGCGAGCTTGGATCAGTCATCAGTGTCCTATAGTTTTTTGGTAGAGCATCCGCGCTGGAGACAATCCGTTGAATTTTAGCAAGTACAAAAAGAAAATATCAAACCTTGCTGCGGGAAGCACCCCCATGAGCTGTTCAAACGGTTTAAATGGTTCGCCAGGAAAAAACGTTAGCTCCAATTCATCCAATTTTGTCAAGTCAGATGCAAAAGGAGCATAATGGTACGGGTAATACCTGCAGAAGAAATCTTAGTGACATTTCCCAGAAATGCCTACACTTACCAGCGCCACGAGCAAACCCCGCTGTAATAGTACCGAAACACCCAAAATAAGCCCTCTGCGTACTTCAAAACCTGCAACCACAAGTCCATTGAGAAGAATTCTACAAAACACTATACTTACCACATCATTACGAATTTCGTCGACCTCTTTTGCTGTTTTTGCTCCAAACTTTTCCCTGTAATACCGTTCCTTCCACCCTGGTGTTCCAAGCTTTACTGCATCGTCGTCATCAAGGTCTTCTTCAGTAGCCCTCCCAGACCTGATATCAGCTTTGTCGCGAGCCTGAAACCAGCTCGTTAATTACACACACCAAAAAAAAACACTAGTCAAAACCTGGCGAACACGTGCTCGCTTCTGAAAAATAGCATCTTCCATGCTTCCAACACGCTGAATAAAATGCGTGACCCGTTGGTAATTTATCTGCACCGATAAACGTAAGCTACCTAAATGTGCATCTAAAGCCTTACCAGGTCATACTCCGTGAGATATCCACCTATATTCTTGAACTCCTTCTTGTAAATAGACATTAAGAGAGTTATGGCTCCCTGCAGAAAACAAAGCAGAATTTATCAGAACGACGTAGAAACGTACATACCTCTTTGATGTCTAGGGTCGGCATGTGCGGAAGAAAGTCATTCCCAACAAAAAAGCACATGAAGACGAAGTCGTCGACAAGGCGTTCAAAATCAACAGGAAATGGTGGATCAGGAATGCGCATGTCGTACTCCAGGTACTCACGTAAAACCCATAGCTGAAGAAACTGTAGCAACAAATTCCACGAGTCATTTACATCGTTCGCTGATTTCAAATATTACCTGATACGGCTTCTTAGGAGCTTCAGGGATGCCTTCTTTGGGTTTGACGTCGCCCGGACAGTCTTCGGCAAGATGACCAGTTTGCGAGCAACGAAAACATTGTGGCCCAGAGTAAGTCACAACCTGCAAAACCATGGTTTCAGTGAGAATGTTTTCGTCTTCGTAATACTTCGGACAACCTCTCTTAAAATAGAGAAGTGAACTTCATGAGTAGCAAGAGCCAGCATGATCAAATCCGCGTCCTGACATTGCACAGAAATGAGACTCATAAATGGATACATGCAGAAAAACGTACCAAACCATAGATGCAATGGTGAGTGTTCGGGTCATATCCCGGAAGGTTTCTTTCCAGACGAATGTAAGACATAATTTTATGTTCACCTTCTCCAGGAACATTGGCATCAGAAAGAATCACCTAAGAAAAGGAACACCACTGTCAAGGTAGCACAGGAAAATTCACAAACCTTAATGTTTCGCCATCCCATGTCGTTGTTGAGGCGCAGACATATATAATACTGAAGTGCAACTGCAAGGCTCTCCATAAACTCTGTGCCGGGGGTAATGACGTTGGAATCGTAGGCTTCTTTGCTCTTCTTGGACGTGAATACTTCACCCTCGTCTTCAAGTTTCATGCGTAAAAGCTCTTCTGCTGCAGCCTAAAAGGCGGAAAGCGTTTCACCAACAAGAAAGAAACCAAACTTACTGCATCAGTCGCATCTTTCGCCGCTCTAAACCGCCGGGATCGTTGCTGATTCATTTTTGCCCGCGGAGCCACACCATCTGGCAGAAAAAAAGCTTAGAATGTTTCTTCTCGAAAGAAAAAGTATCGTACCAATGGCCATGTACAAAAGCTTCCTAGGACGAACGATCGCGAACAAACGATCAATGTAGTCGAAGATGCACTTAAACACTTCGCCAAAGGTGGCGGGAGGGGGCTGAGACAGCAAAATCAGTACGAGGGAAAACGTAAAAGACCAAAGAAAGAACAAACCTGCCCTTCTGGATGAAAACAAGGATGAATGATCCCATTCATGTCGAGGTAGAGGTTATCATACTCATATTTGTTAGGATTAGGCTCGCTACTGTCTACGGGTACAGTAGACCCATTAACTACTCGTGGCTCAGCCTCCACTGCGTCTACGACTATAAGGGGATATTTATCCGCAAGCCATCTATAAAATGCTGGAACTCCCATCTTCTATATCACTGCCTCTGTGTCTCCTTCCAAAATATACTATGCTAAACAAATCCCCGATCACTGCTTTGTTGCCAACACTAAAGAAGATGAACGACTTTCACGACTACACTCCTGTGGAGACTTTAAAAAACGTCCACAAACAAACGAAGGGAGAAGGAAAACCAACAAAAAGGCGAAGAGGAGAGAAAGAAGAAAATGGTAGAAACTTTCTATCTGGACAGACAAGACAAAGAAGGGGATTTTTTTTCAAGCTCGAGAAAAGAATGTGCGCTGGGCTGCTTCGTCTGGGAAAAATTCTGGCGGACTCTCTATCGGAAACAAGGAACTAAAGAAGGGCTCAAGAAGAAGGACCTGACGAGAAACACGCTGATTTTGGCAGAATAGCTGCCAGTGGAGGCTGAGACGCACTCTCTCCTACACTGTCCTAGAGATGGAGCAAGAAAAAAGAAAGAAAGAAAGCGCAGAGCTCACTGCCTAATGCTCGATCAATCGACGCTCCTACTGCTGGATGCATACCCCCACTCGACGACGATCGATTTCCCCTCAAATGCTACATCGCGTCGCCTCCCATTGCGATCGATCCCACACCCTAACCCCAGGCGCACTGACGCGGCGCCCTAATCCTATAAACCACAAGCATCTTTCTCTTTCCCCTTACTCCTTTCCGGTCGCCGGGCGGCAGGTTTCCGCCGACCGGGATTTGGTCGGCAGAAAAGCAAAGGACACACGTGGCCGGAAAGTAGGCCGACACGCCAACTCCTTGTGGACCGGAATCGAACCCCGTGCCACTAGAAACTTAGAAAATATGGGTGCCGCAACGCGGCGGCGGCCGAGAGCCTCTTTCGCCGCTCACACACGAGCCTCGACGCGAGCTCCCATCCTCTCCCAGCCCCGAGCTCCAGGAGCTCCAAGTTTGGCCTCAGTCGCGTTCGCTTCCTCCATGCTTTTAGATCGAAGTTAACTTCGCTCAGCTCTTTCTTCATCACTTCCACCGCGACTGGAGTTCTCAGATTCGGCGAGGCCATCTGGAGGAAGATGATCCCGACCGAGTACATGTCGAAGAGATCTGGACTGTTTAGCTGCAAGAAGAAGAAGAACGAAGAACACCGCCATGAAAACGTACAAAGAAAAAGTTCTCGACTTACTTGCCAGAGGATCGGAGAGAGCAGTGCGGCGATTGGAGCTGGCGGAGGCCGAGGAGTTTCCTCCGGCATCACGAACAGCTCCGGTGGGCAGTAGTCGGGATCCAGCATGCCTCGCTCGGGCACGTAGTTTTTTCCCACGCGGAGATCGGTGGCAGCACCGAAGTCTATGAACTTGAGCTTGGCCTTGTTGGTCACCACCAGATTCGCAGGCTTGACGTCGCGGTGGACGATCCCAGTAGCGTGCATTTTCTTGAGCGCTACGAGGATCTCTCGCAGTATTTTCCTGATCGTCAACGCCTTGCGTTTGAGTGGATCTTTCTCCCTCGAGCGACCGAGCAAAGGCTCTGCTAGATTCTCTGGAAACCTCCTGTCCTTCATGAAGTCCGCGAGTGTTGAATCTCCCTAGAAAAGATCAACGCTCCTCAGCAAGAACCACAAAAAAAAAGGAGAAAAAAGACACAAAGCTCACCTCGTACTTCCAGACGAGCCATTTACCACCCTCGACAAATTGTCCTCGAGTAGAATCGGCCACAAAGCTCCCGAGAAAATCCGCGCACACATCCGGGGCAGCGCGAGCCATGCGGTAGTTAAACCATTCCTCCATCTCGCCGCTCTCGAGCGCTCCCTCGACGTCCATCTTCACCTGGCAAACTACGAGAAAAGCTTGTAACCAAAGCTCCAAGAGAAGTGAAACGCTCACCTTCTTGAGTGTGACTTTCTGGAACTTCTTGTATCCCTGGTACTCCTCGAGCCGCCGCGAGCGCTTTCCAATCCCTTGCTCTTGCTGGAAATCCTTGGGAAGAATCGCTCCAGCGTAAACTGTGCCAAACGATCCCTCTCCCAGCTTCTGACCCACGACGAAATCGCTTCTCTTGAGACCGCGCCGGCCCAAAGCTCGATCCAGCACGGCCTGGACTGGAGCTAGGAAGTACGCATCCACAGCACCAAGAAAAACTCCCGGCTTGGCAGTGAGGTAAATCCATCCCAGCAGAGATCCCCCCAAAACCCCCACCTGCGAGGTATCGGGGAGCCTGGAAAACGAATCCAAGAGCTCGAGTCCTTGCTGCTTGGCGGAATCATCCTCCAGAACCACATTCTTGATCGCGTCTGTCAATACCTCCGCGATTCCAACGCTGCAAATCGCCACATTCCTGCGCGACGATCGCCCCAGGCCAAAGGATTTGCCCAGCGCCTTGAATCCAAACCCTAGGCTCCCATGGCCGGCGCGGCCAAGAAAGACGCTCCTGGAGCCAATGCTCGTGGAGACGAGCGCCGAGGAGCTGAAATTCCTGTCCGCCATCGCTGGGATCTTTCACATACCTGGGGGTGTCCTTGCGCGAGAGATTCGCAGCTAAGATAAGATGAATACTTGTTTGTGGTGGGCAGTGAATCTTGTGGTTTATTTCGAAGCGGTCTAAATGATTCTCCAATCCAACGGTAACACTTCATTAGGGTTCTTGGAGCCCTAGGATTTGAAAAGGCGCGGGACCGCAGCTACTTCTTACTCAAAGCCAAGAAGAAAAAAGATAACGCTATCGCATTCCATATGTTTGTCTCGCTTTTCTTTCTTTTTCTGTTTTGCGGACATGTTGTTTCAGTTTTTTTTTTTTTTCCAGCTTGAGTTGCTGCAGGAGCTGGTGTACGAGTGACATCAAATGCGAGGTTCGCTCGATGGGAAAACCAATTTTCAAACTCCACTATTTTCTAGGGATCTTGATGCTTATATCCAAGTCTTGTCTCGATTGACAAAACAGATTGGGCATATGTGAGGGAAGCAAGTGTTCTTGAGAGGCACCCAGCTCCAAACTCCGATGGTCACAAGAACCAAATATTCAAGGAGCATAGATCATCCTAATGCGATGCGATGCAGGGGGAATTCGGAAAGAACAGGGGACCTGTCGCTGTGCCAATGATCATCAATGCCGAAGAATCCTTGCATCAAACTTGAAGATCATGAACGCTATCGGTTTTCAACTCTTCTCCGGATGAAGGGTTCGAAAGTTTCCAAGTTTCACGCAAAAGATTCAGATTCTTGTTCGTTTGCCTCTCTTTCTCTTCTTGAATATTTTTTATTTCCTTAAACGATTTTTTCATCTTGAGTTGTGCAGGAAGGAGCTCGTCTATGAGTGACATCAAATGCGAGGTTCGGAAAGCCATCTTCAAACTCATCACTCTTATCTGATAAAGCCAGCTGGACATATGCAAAGGAAGCATGGCCTTGGACACCCCCGAATCAGCTATCGGTTTCAACTCTTTTTCCAGACGAGAGCATATACTTGTTTTCCATGCCGCATGTACAACGGTATGCTCGAAAGCTGGTCGGGAATTCTGGGCACTTCCAACTTGTTCTTGTTTGGCTTGTGTAGGCGTAAGAGACCAGGAAAATTCGCGTATCATATCTTATGAAGGACCAGAGCTCTCCTGTCTGTAAACGTTGGAGATTTGGTGATCTTAGCTCACAAGTCATGAAAGAAGGAGATGAAAATGATAGACGTTATTTCGTGGATTTTCTACCAAAGAATTGATATCCAGGAATAACAAATTGTGTTTCCGCAACACAAGATCTTCTTTCACGAGTAGCAAAGTTTTAAGCTTGTCACCCGGAAGATGAACCGACACCTCATTGTCTCTCCAACCTATGTGTCGCCCACCAGCAATTCTCCGTCCCTGTTCGACTACTGTAAACATTGCACATTGTCCATTCTCTCTCTTCTCCACTTAGCAATTATGATAGAACTAATTCAACAATTAAACTCAATTAGATACCCATTTAAATGATGCAAACTACTTTAGGAACTATGATAGAACTACTTTGACCACTGAATTAAATTAGATACCAATGAAAAAAATACATACTACTTAGCAACTATGATAGAACCATTTCAACTATAGAATTCTATCAAATTCATAAAGTGCATATTACTTATTAACCATTATAAAACCACTTTGACCATAGAATTCAATGCATAATTATCTAAATTTCCAATGCATAAAGTGCAGCCTACTTAAAACTAACTATTGATGTAGACTACTAAATACATGGAAATTAGATAAAGACTTAGAATCTAACTAAGTTATACTTGACAAAAAATTGGTCACTAATTACTTTTCTTGCTAATGAACTCTTGCAATAGAGATATTATTGTAATAGATATGGCAATCAATTTGTTATTGGCAGTTAAAACCTACCCTAGGGGGAGGTACATGTCTTTTTAGGTAAAACTATGAAAAAGACTTCTGTAAAAAGCACATATATGAATAGTTTGAGAAAGACTTAAATCTTGCTAGATTGGAAAGGGATCTATCTAATAAAGAGTGTTATCGAGGTTGAAAAGATTCTTCAAGAGCTTCTCCCATAACAAAAGAACTTGACAATATGGGGGATTTCACATATGAATGGGAATTAAGATATAGAATTGGATGCAAGGTGATAAGAGCTACTCTAGCCTGTATTTGTCCAAAGCCAATTCCTTGCATGCATTGCAATATGGAGTCATTTATGGAACTCTAGTGGATTGATAATAAATGTGTTTTACTATATAAACTGAATTCTTGATATAGTTTTGTTTTGCAGCTTATTGCAAACTAGAGCCTTGGGGGCATCTACTTACATAGAATTATTAATGCTAGTATACGTTTGAAGAGCATATAAAAAATTGTTGCATATGTTGTTTTGTTTGTTTATGTAGGGACACACTATGTCAGAAGTAGGGTTGCCAGTGAACATTCTGAACAACAAACTTGAATCATGTCGAACGTGTTCATAATTTTCTTCAAATGCAAATAAAAACCTAAAGAAACAAAGTAATTTCAACATAACACACAAAACACATTCCACACTAAGCTCAAACCACAATCCACTCACACACCACTCAATCTTTATCCTCTATCACCTCTTCATCATGGTCCTCTTCTTCTTTTTCCTCCTCATCTTCTCCTTCCTCTTCTTCCTCTTTTCATTGTTATCCTCTTTAAGAAGGGGTTTTTCTTCATTTATGTGGTGCTGAATGTCTAAGATCCTTTGCCATTCAGGCTCAATACTTAACTTGTCTAAGTCAATTTCTAACATTTTCATCCCATCTTTCTCCAAGTGATCTAAAAGATTTGTATTTGCCTTGATATGCATAAGCCTCTTTAGATTGGCAAAAAGGAGAGGATTTCTTGCCTTGGATTGAATTGAGTTTTAAATACTCCAATTCCTCTCATATAGAGAGGCACACATACATTAGCTAAGCACATGTAGTGTTACTTTTTTGAGTTCAAGCACACTAATTAATAGGGTATTTTCTTTTGTCATGGCTTCATGCAAGAGGCTTTGCCATAAGTCTCCCTTCTTGGCCTCTAAATATGTTAAACTGCTCATCAAGTTTGCTTTCTAACTCAAGATCTCCTTTAGTGTACAAAGTCATGTACTCTTGCCGCCATGTGACGCTGGCCCTTGCCAAGCAGTCATGCCACCCCCGAGGCTTGCCTCCCTTGGAAGCCTAGAGGAGAAAAGTCAAATTCAAGGCATATGCTGCACCATATAAAATACTATGCATCATATACCATCGACCTTCACCTTTAATCTCTTTATTAATAATGAAGTTCATGATTATATTCACTTTTGCAGCAATCTCCTTTTCTTTACTACCTCCACCAAATCCTTCTATCATTCTTTCAATTGCTTAAAAAATCAAGCCAAAAGTAACTCCCTCCTTGTTTGCTAGACATAGCACATTTAAGATTGGAGCTATTATAGTTAAAAGCTCTTGATATTCAGTCCAAAAGTCCCTAATAGAATCAACATAGAAATTCACTATCTTTATTATGTGATGACCACTTTGAAGCTTCCCACTCTTGACTTACAACCATAAGTATCTGTGAGACACAAATCCCTATGCCTTAAAGTGGAGCCAAAAAGGTGCCACATAATAGTGGTCAAAACAAAAGTCTAACGAGCATAACTGTGAGACACAAAATCCCTAGGCCCCCAAAGTGGAGCTGAAAAGGGTGCCACGTGGTAGTGGCCGAAGCGAAAGCCAAACGAGCATAACATGTTTGGACTAAAAGCTCCGACTTGGAAGGTCGAGAGCGGGAGTGGAACTCCCAACAAAGTGCTCGAGGAGCAAGCACAAGGCAACCAATAAGCAAGGCTCCAAAAAGAACCAAAACATGACACGTGGAAGTGTCTGAGATGGAGTCTAAGGCGGACCCGAGTTGGAGTTTGAGATGGACCCGAAGTGGAGTTCGAAGTGGAGTCCGAGATGGACCTGAAGTGGAGTCTGAAGTGGAGTCCGAGATGGACCCGAAGTGGAGTCCGAAGTGGAGTCTGAGATGGAGTCTGATATGGAGTCCGAGATGGACCCGAAGTGGAGTCTGATATGGAGTCCGAGATGGAGTCCGAGATGTACCCGAAGTGGAGTCCGATATGGAGTCCGATATGGAGTCCGAGATGGAGTCCGAGATGGACCCGAAGTGGAGTCCGATATGGAGTCCGAGATGGAGTCCGAGATGGACCCGAAGTGGAGTCCGAGATGGAGTCCGAGATGGACCCGAGATGGAGTCCGAGATGGAGTCTGAGATGGAACCGAGACCGGGACCGAGACCAAGACCGAGACCGAGTCCGAGTCCGAATCCGGGACCGAGACTGAGTCTGAGTCCGAGTCCGAGTCCGAGTCTGAGTCCGAATACTAATACAGACAGTTGGGTGAAAGCCCAAAGCGATCGTCCCCCAGGGGGGGGGGGGGGGCTGCGGGGGGTTCCAAAAGTATAGCAGGGAGAGTGTGGGGGTTGGAGCCCAATGGAGCCAGTTTGGCCAGGAAAGGCCAGTTTGGCCCAAGAAGGCCAGACCCAGTGTTGGGTGATGAGCTGACCACTGGGAAGTCTAAGACTAGAGTGAACACAGACCGACAAGCGGGGTAGTTTGGTGAAGTGTTCAAGAGCCGGCTCTAGTTCCCCTGGGAGATCGACTGGCCGATGCTCCCAGTCCAAGTGTGGGTGGCACTACCTACTTGGATACTAGGCGTGGCTCAACGGAACCTCGCTCTAAGCCCATGGCTAGAGCACCCAAGGGCGGAAGGCGGGGAGAGTACCCAGGTGGCTCGCGTAAGGCCACGGTGTTCCGAAATGTTGTCCCAAAGGCCCAGACTGTGGAAAGGAAGAGGAGCAGTCCTCTGGGGTAGTGACCAAGGACACAGTCGTGTGGTGAGGAAGTCCCAGAGGACCGTGGGACTTAGTGGTCGGGCCTGTGGGCCTCGATCCAGTGGCAGTGTTGGCGAACACGGCCATGGACGAAAAGGGACTTAGTGGGGACTGGAACGGAGATATTGGGGAAGGCTAATCCTTATGTCGGTGGGCATCCTAAGGATGCTAAGGAGTGGATCTGGGATGATCACTCATGGATGGATGGCCCAGTCTTTGAGTGACGGGATTGGGATGCAGGTGGTGTC